TCAATCACCAGTGTGCCCGTCGTTCCCGAGTTGAACGACTTTGCGCGCTCTCTTGAAGACCCGGAAATGGACGATATCACCACGAAACGAGGTGAAGCCGAACCGACCAATGCTGAGGGCAACGGTTCATCGCTTTCTTCTGGGAAGCATCGAAAACGTAAGGCGTCAGACCTTGCCGAGGAGCATCAGGATACGAGCATCGATGCTCCCAAGAGGTTAAGGTCAGAAAGCAATGTATTGAACACAGCTGGCAAAAAAGGAATCGCCGCGATTGCATCGTCGGGCCCGGTGAGAAGGTCAACCAGGCAGAAGACGAATGAGAAATAAACCGGTATATGAACCGACAAGGCCCAAATTGAGCTATACGTATATTTAGATCATGCAAGAATTAGATGATAAATGATATCAGAATTCTTCTATACATTCAACTTTCATACAGTCCTTTCTCTATGCATATTCCTTGTTAAAAGCGCGCCCGATCACCATCCGTCTGATCTCACTAGTACCGGCTCCAATCTCATAGAGCTTCGCATCCCGGAGCAGCCGCCCAGCAGGGATCTCGTTGATGTACCCATTACCGCCCATAAGTTGAATAGCATCCAGGGCACACTCGGTGGCTCTCTCGGCAGCGTACAAGATGGCGCCCGCGCAGTCCTGCGTGCGGATCGAAACCTCGCCGGTAGCTGCGGAGTTATCGATATGTCGTGCCGTAGCATAGGTATAAGAGCGCGATGCTGAAAGCTTGGTATACATATCTGCCAGCTTCCCTTGAATAAGCTGGTTGTGGGCAATGGGTGTTCCGAATTGTTTGCGAGTATGGGTATATGGGAGCACGAGGTCGAGGGCCGCTTGCATGATTCTATTAAATTCCAATTAGTGCCATAATCTTCAGAATATAAATACTTTCACAGCGAGGATAGCCTACCCGAGTGGACCAGCGCTCAGGACAAGCCGTTCGAGATCAAGACCCTCCATGAGAACTCTGACGCCCTTGTTCAACTCCCCGAGGAGGTTCTCCTTGGGGACGAAGACATCTTCGAAAACAAGTTCTCCGGTGTTTGATCCACGCATACCGAGCTTGTCAAGCTTGCGCGCGCAGGAGAAGCCCTTGAATGTCTTTTCCACGACGAATGCGGAGATGCCCTTGGAGCCCTTTTCCGGCTCTGTTTTGGCATAGACGACAATATAGTCTGCGTCGGGACCCTAAATCGTAGTTAGGGTCAGTGTCAGTGCTCACAAGAGCTGCTGTAGGATTAATTACTACTCACGTTCGTGATCCACATCTTGGTGCCGTTCAGTACCCAACCACCGTCGACTGCTTTAGCAGTCGTCTTCATGCTGACAACATCAGAGCCTGCGGAGTGCTCTGACATGGCCAATGCTCCGATCTTCTCGCCGGACAGGAGCCCAGGGAGGAACCGAGCCTTCTGGTCTTCAGTACCATTCAAGGACAGTTGGTTTACGCAAAGCTGCGAATGTGCTGCGTAGGACAAAGCGATACTCCCTGTAGGTCAAACGAGTCAACACTCAAGTTTGAATGCAAGCCTTGAAAAGCCGCAACCAGGGGCAAATACCTGAAGCTCTGCTGAGTTCTTCCATCACTATACAGTGCGCTTGATAGCCCATGCCAAGTCCACCGTACTCCTCGTTGGCAGTGACACCAAGAAACCTAGTGAAACACAATTAGGCCCTGTAGGGTACGAAAATGCCTTGAAGCACTAACCCGGCGTCTCCCAGTTTCTTCCACATCTCTGCCGGGAACTCATTCTGTGAATCTGTCCGAGCGGCGACCTCCTCAGGTATTTCGCGCCCTTGAATACGCATAAGTATCGGAGAAGTGCAGATATAACGTGATAATCGGATGATGAAAGGCTCATCACATACTCGTAAACTCTTGTACTCGCTCTCTTAGCTCCAGCAGCTCGTCCTCGGTGGGCGGTACGAATCCCTTGGGATGTTTGATTGCCAGCGACCTTGATGCGGGGGTGTAGATGAGCGGCGTCCTCATCCTGCAAAGGGTCCTGGACGAGGTCCGAAATAGGGACGCTACGGAAGCCATTGTGGATGAGAATAAACACTCTTCCAAGGGAGATTTCAGAATTCTCAGGCAACGAAAAAGAATGATGAATATCAGCAAAAATGAAAGCCGAGGATGGTTGCATTTACATAGCGATGCGAGGCAGAGAGAAGAGCGGGCCTGAGGCCAGCGGCGGGTAAACGCGGCAATCGTCGCTGTTTCTTCTCCGCAGCCGTTAAGCTGGAGTCCGGGGACTCATCGTCATGCCCTTCTTTTTCTTCCCCATCATCAACCCGCAGCCTTTCCTTTCTCACAGTCTTTTCCCACTTCCTTGAGGACACTGTCCTGTCTTTTGAGATCGCTCTTGGAATTTCAGTCAAGGCCATGCCATAATAACCCCCGTCATCTGCTGAACATCAACATTTCCTTTGCTCCACAGCCATCCCCGCAATGCGTGCCCCATCTCCGCTCCTCCGGGGCTTGTGCTTCAGAGCAACCACCCTTCCGTATCCTCGACGACTCCCGGCACAAAGAAACCTGGTTTTAACATACTCTCGCATCTCGTCACGAACTGTGGCCAGCTATACACATCCGCATCATGCCAGCGCCATTTCCGTGCTCCCCACTGCGGTGGACACCACCTCCGCTGAATTCCAGGAGAACGCGCAACAGATGAGAGAGTTGGTGGACCGAATGGCCAGTCTACACACTACCATTGCACAGGGAGGACCGCAAAAAGCTAAGGAGAAGCATGTCGCTCGAGGAAAGATGCTCCCGCGCGATCGTGTCACTGCGCTCATTGATCCAGGGACGTCCTTCCTGGAGCTTTCACCCCTAGCTGGCCATGGCGTCTATCCCGGGGAAGACGTTCCCGCTGGAGGCATTATTACAGGCATTGGCCAAGTGGAGGGCGTTACCTGTATGATCGTGGCTAATGACAGCACTGTCAAGGGAGGAACATACTACCCCATTACCGTGAAAAAGCACCTCCGCGCGCAAGCAATTGCCCAGGAGAACAAGCTTCCATGCCTCTACCTTGTCGATTCGGGCGGTGCCAATCTCCCCCACCAGGCAGATGTCTTCCCCGACAAGGAGCATTTCGGACGGATCTTCTTCAACCAGGCCAGAATGAGTTCTCTCGGAATCCCTCAGATCTCTGTGGTCATGGGGCCCTGCACCGCTGGAGGTGCCTATGTCCCAGCCATGAGCGATGAGACTATCATAGTCGAGAACCAGGGAACTATCTTCCTGGCTGGTCCTCCTCTGGTCAAGGCAGCGACGGGTGAAGTCGTCTCCGCGGAAGATCTGGGTGGTGGCCAGCTACACAGCACCATCTCCGGTGTCACTGATTACTTGGCCGTGGATGATGCCCATGCCATTGTCCTCGCCCGGAGATCCGTCGCCAATCTCAACTACCCTAAAACAAGCGTACCTCAGGTCTCCGCAGATACCATCAAGGAGCCGCTGTATGACCCGGCCGAGCTCGACGGCATCGTCGGAACCAACCTCCGCCAGCAGATACCAGCTCACGAAGTCATTGCCCGTATTGTCGACGGCAGCGAGTTTGCAGAGTTCAAACGTGACTACGGAACCACCCTGGTGACTGGATTTGCTCGTATCTACGGCCACCAAGTCGGTATCGTCGCGAACAACGGCATTCTATTTTCCGAGTCTTCCCTAAAAGGAGCGCACTTCATTGAACTGTGCGCTCAGCGCAAGATCCCCTTGCTATTCCTTCAGAACATCTCCGGATTCATGGTCGGAGCAGATGCTGAGAAGGGCGGGATCGCTAAGAACGGTGCCAAACTGGTGACTGCAGTGGCTTGCGCGGACGTTCCCAAATTTACAGTTGTGTTCGGCTCCAGCGCCGGAGCAGGAAATTACGGGATGTGGTAAGCGCCCTCGTTATGCTGTATTTACCTCGAAGGACACAGTGCACTAGGCTAACTTTGCTCCGTCTCTTATAGCGGCCGCGCATACTCTCCACGACTGATGTTCATGTGGCCCAACGCGAAGATAGGTGTCATGGGGTCCGAACAATTATCTGCTGTCATGGAGGCAGTCGGTAGAACCGCCGATCCGGAACTGAAAGCACGGATCGACCGTGAGTCGGAAGCGATCTTTTCTTCCGCTCGTCTCTGGGACGATGGTGTCATTCCGCCAGCACAGACGAGACATGTTTTGGGCCTGAGCCTTGCGGCTGCTCTTGGTGGCAGAGTAGACAAGGATGTGCAGACTCGTTTTGGTGTTTTCAGAATGTAAATTTATAGCGTAATTCAGCGGTCATTACTCACGAAATTCGCTTTGTGTACATTTCATACAGATTGGACTCGTAGGAGACCCGTAGACACACCGGCTGCCAGTTCTCCATGAACTAGCATGACAACAGCTTGGACGCGTATTCCAGTCAGTAACGGGCAGGAAGCGAACTGTGACAGAGAGGTCAAGACGGCAAATTCCTCGATTCTTCTAGAAAATATGTGGTATACAAGAATAGTAGGAACATGATACCAAGCTGATGCAATGAAGTCAACCCGATTCTCCTGGAATCGGTTCGGACTGAGCCTCTCAGGAGACCAGGGTAGACAAGAACATGGGGAACATTGATACCAATTGCAAGAACAACACGGCAGGGACAGTCGAGAATGGATAAAAGAAAATCATCAGGAGATCACTCGACAACTTTTCCAGCCTTTCAAGAGTCAGGTGGCAACTTGTAATAATGAAAATAACGCGTTATAATTGAATGTCGTTCTACCGTTGGGAAGAGCACGTAAATGGCGTATAGTGTAGCATGTTATGGGGCACGTCGTGAGGAAATTGTAAGCAATTGATGGGTATGTGAGAGTGTGAAGGATGTCTGTCGAAGCTCAAGATGTACGAGCAGTGATACACAGAACCGATGGACAGGAATGAACAGGAAATCGGACGTCTTGGGGGTTTCTTGCTGCAGTCGTCGTTGGTGCTGTTGTGGATTTGGGATTTATAAGATAACACAGGGGCCCTTTCGTCGTTTCTTTTCTTTCTTCTTATCGTAACGACCGGCACCTTCGCGCTTTCTCGCTGAATTGTCGGAGCCATTGGACGAGTTTCCCTGCATGTCTTTTCTGATTATTTGCCGGCAAAGATCAATAAAGACCTCGTTGACGTTTGCTCTCCTACGCGCTGAAGTTTCATAATAGGGAGCATTACCCCAGCTCTGGGAAAGTGCGAATGCTCGAGCTCGCGGAACAGCGCGGTCTTCCTCCAGATCGGATTTGTTGCCCACAATGACAATGGGGACTTTTTCGTCATCCTTTATCCGGATAATCTGCTCCCTCAGTTCGGACAACTCGTTCAAGGATGACATGCTGGTGATAGAGAATACGAGCAGAAAGCCTTGACCTTGCTTCATGTAAAGCTCCCTGGAGAGTGAAAGAAATAGGGTTAGCACTGGCGAGCTGAAGCTGGCGTCTACATGATAAACATGTTTGGCTGGAAAAGCGCAGAAACCATCGGCAAAGGAGTGAATAAGATAAATTACCTCATAGCGGCTACAGAATCACGTTAGCCAAAAGGTCACAATATCAGACAGCGGGGGGACTTACTGAACTGCTCGGTCCCTGCCGTATCGAGTCTTTTGAACAATCCAAGCGTCAGTACTCTCTCAAGCTAACAACGGTGGCAATTCTCCCAGACAACAAGATCCTGCGAAAACATACATTTCCAGAATACATTGCCGGCCCTGGAAGAGTCAGCATTAAAAGTCCAGCGCAAACGTCGAAAGCGACTTACATCGACCTCAATCTGCTTTCGGTAGGAGTCTTCAATTGTGGGGTCATAGCTTTCGATCCACACATTCTGAACGAATTGAGCTGTGAAAATCAGACGGTGTACCTCATTGATGGAGATCCTTGAATCGGCAACACAGTTCTCACAGCGAGCAAGAAGGGGGAACAAGGGTGGAATGAGCAAGAGAAAAGTACGCACCAGTAAGACAGCTTTTCCCCACACCTCCTACAGCGCAGACAATCGACAATCAGTTAGCCGAAAAGTACCTTTTGGGCGTCTTCCGACAGAAGGAATATTCCTACCTGCGCCTAGAACCACAATGTGATATTCCCGTCTAGCAATTGACACATGGTAATATCAGTAACCCGTTACGCAGTGTCCCTCAAATGAGGATATCTCTGACAGGAGGACTCACTGGGGCCGCATCGAGACTGTACGGACTCTTTCGATAGACAGTCAACCTTGTAGACTTCGCGCAGGTCGTCAGTGCATAGCTCTAACGTCAAAGGAACGCAATTGGAGGTGTGCGTTATCTACCTGTCAACGCTGTCGCCGATGTGCTTCGCAGAGCGGTGTAACCAAGTTCGATCGAATTTCGGAGTGCGTTCAGTAGGGTATGTCAAAGGCTCGCTGCTGGTATCCTCCTTTAAATCGTAGCCGGACGGGTAGTGGTCTGATTTCCTGGCTCCCACTGGAAGAGCAAGGGCGACGAGACGCGATCCGTTACATCAGTTTCCAATGCCAATTGCTAACCAATTCCTCCGACCTAGGGTTATATCGAGCCCTTTAATCAAATCACACCCAGAGGTTCGCCGGTTCGATAGTAAGGGACAGTGGTGATTAGGGAACGATGCGCTCGAAAAAGGAAAAAAAAAAAAGTTGATGTCAACAGATTTGGTTCCAACGTCCGGAGGCTAGGCTGGGCTAGTCTGGTCACTCCTGGTACGACCGAAGAACGGGTGTGGGGAGAGGGGAGGAAGCGATAAGAAGCGATTCCGTTTCGGAGGGAGGCTTGAGATCAAACTGGTTCCTGGACACGCTGCAGAATGGTTAGCATGGCATGCAATGGAATTGCACGTAAGGGAGGCCACTGACCCTTTCCTCAGTTTTCTGGTTTGAACTCAGAATCCGAACGTGACGACTAGGCGGCGGTGAGAATGTGTGATGGCTGTGCGGACACCACGGGCGATCCAATATCCGCGATTAAACTCTAAACCTCAGAGAAAAAGCGAACGGCCGTGGAATTCTCTTGGAATTCCGCGATAACTCGATAGGCACCCCCTGTCTTAATGGCATTATTTGGGTCAGCGTTGCAACGAAAGGTTAAACGGTGATGGAGTTGTGGTTACTGGTGTCTCCAAAGGACCTATCAAACAGGCGATGGCGGTGTCGGCGTATGTAATGATGTATTGCTGAAACCACCAGTGAGCGCGGCTATTTTTTTCCCCCATGTTCTTCCTGGATCTGGGGAATTCTAATCTAGGAGGAGACGAATAACCGGAGTGTCGGTCCTGAGTCCCAGTCATCGACGCTCAGGATGCATTTTCACAGTTTGATCAAAAGACGGACGTATTGCACGCTTGGCTTGAACGCTGCCACGAACGTCTCAGATCCACGGGGAAAGGGAAAGAGATGGCGGCAAGTCAAACATGACAATGCCATATTGATCATTACTAGGGGAAATTCATCCGTCATGTTCAAATTGATGTTGACAGGCAACCCCTCTGATACACCAGGTGGAGGGAGGGTGAGGGAGACGACGGGAATGTAGAGATGAGGGCCTAAGCTGGCTACTTACAGTCCGAAGAGAAGTCCAATATTCGGCTGAAATAGGAAAGTAGTCACTCAATGAGATAATCGATAGAGATTAATGAGACTATTTGTGGCGTCCAGGATGACAGAAGGTGTCTGCTGGGGTTCCTAATCGGGCACCAAAAGCAGGTTTTGTGGGAACGGCAGATTCAGTAGATCCAGTACGTACATACTCTCCAAGATTGCCCATAGGTGCCTTCGGGGAACCATTTGAGTTATAAGGTGCCAGAGGATTGAGAGTCATAGAATGAGAATTTCTACTTGGCGCTTCAAAGTCGAAAATCTACATGATTGGCACCAGGGTTGCAGACAACCTCCCACAATTCAATGGAGATGCCAGGAAAGTCCTTGAAACATACACATATTTTTGCCAGAACTTACCTGTCAACTCTTTTTCCGACATCGGCTCAGTAGTTTGTCTGCCATGGCAGTTGTAGGAATCTATCGGCTGGGTCTAGAGCTGCAGATGATTGACGTAGATGATGTTGACAAACAAGACAACACAGTCTGCCAGGAACACGTACCTAAGGTAGGATTACGCCAGACATCATTACATGGTGAAGCGGTACTACATTGGAAAGCCATACTAACACCCGAGCACTGGCATTCATGGGAGAATCATCTGGAAAGAGGGTCATGGCAAGAGCGTAAGTCTGTGCCTCTTATCATATGACTGACTTGACAGGTCGAATCATGACTGGGACACATCGCGATGATACAGTATATGTGGATAGATCAGAGATATTCTCATTATCTATACACATGCAACATAATATGCAGGTGCCTGGCATTCACTCTGTGTCTGTCCATTAAACACAGACAGGATGCTCTGCCAATCATGGTGTCACACATAGGTAGTCCGCACACATCGTCAGACGTCCCTTCAATTTTCCAGGGGGATACGTTTGCATTATGTGGTCTGCTAGCCGCTATAGCCTCAACACAATGATACATGGCCTACCTTATCTCTCGCCTAAGTCGGATGTCAGGTACCCTTGATGAGGAAGTACCATCAAGGCCAAGACCATTCGGAAAGTCAGGCAACGCAACATACTCCGTAAGCGCTATTTGGATGTGAGTTTAGCTATGGACAGGTCTATGGTCTATAACTGAACGGAAAGTTGGAGCAAGCTCTGACGTAATTGTCCAACAGATATCAAGCAATCAAAGAGTCGCTGAATTCATCGTATCCTCGTACATCCACAGCAAAATAGACGGGAGACATGACCGCTATAGACAATAAAAGGCACGGCAGCAACAGTTTCCGTTGAAGCTGTAGGTTATATCAAGCCGTTGGTCTGTTTGACTGCTCCGTGCCCTTTCTTTCCGCTATATTCTCCGGAGCTGTACCGCTCAAGAGCCTTGAAAACGTGTCCAAACACCTGTTCGTCCACGTCTCTTGCCCAGAGGAAGTCCAAATGCTCATAACTCGGAATCGACTTGGCCATAGTCCCTCGCGGGAGCTCTCGCAACATCGCCCCGATATCAATCAGACTGTCACTTCCACCGTATAGGAGAACAACCGGGGTCTTGATGTTCCTGGTGGGGTACTTGACCGGTTTGTAAAACCGTTGACTTGCCACGACGCTGAACGGAGCATGAACTTCATCATCATACATTTGAAAGGTCCTATGCCGCATGATTTGAAACCAATGCACCACCGACTTTGTGCTAGTGAACGAATAGAGATGCAGGTAACTTGCCAGTTTCTGATAGCGGCTGATGTTCTTGCCCTCCCAACCAAAAAGAATTGAAAGCGATGCGTCGATTATGCGAACGAAGATTGGAGGGTAGAGGATTGTCTGCCACATAGGGGTAGAACTGAGGATGCTGCGTCTACCAAAGAGGAGAAACAAAAAGTTGGGTGAAGCCTTCATCAATGAGTCCACGATACGATTCCGAAGTCCTGAGGGCGCCATTGCAGGTGCAAGGGCCACAAAGACGTCTATCTGCTGGTTGAGCAACGGATGAATCGATAGAGCCGCAAAGGCCTGCGCTGTACCTTGCGAGAACCCGATATACGACAAGGACGCCCGTCCTGTGACATTCAGAATGTAGTTAATGCTGTCTGGGATATCGTAGAACGCAAACTCGTCCATCGAAAAGCCCCAGAACTTAGTGGACAGGGGAGAGTGATGGATAGACTTCTTGGAATATTTGTTGCCGCGATTGTTCCCAAGCCAGACATCGTATCCTCTCTCCACAAGCTGAAAAGGGAGACATCGCTGAGCATCCGTCAAACACACGAAGACTTCGCTGCACATCAAAAGACCGTGATGGAGGTAGACAACCTTTTTCTCGATTGTTCCCTCTCCCCGGTTGACGAGACGACCTTCCTCGCCTTTGCGATACGCCAGGCGGTGTAGACCTATCAGAAAGCCATCTTTCGTCTGCACGATGTGCTCCTCCGCCTCATATCCAAAAATGGCACAAATGTCTGCAAAGTTGGAGGCCTGCGCGACCTGTGCAGCGATCTGCTCCTCCTTACCACGCTTGTATAGTCTCTCTGCCGGCATCAGGAAATTGAATATGGCCTTGGAACGATCGTGACAGAACTCGATCACAGGCTCCGCTGCTCTAGCTTAGCCCCTTATCCTCAACGTGCCTTGAATTGCAATTGGAGGTTGTGAAAATTGAGACCCGAGGCGCCTCCTTAGTATACTTACGCAGCAAGAATGTAATGAAATGTATGATCCATTCCAGCAGCACTAGAATCAAGGACGCAAAAAGCGCAAGGTATTCGAACCAAAACAGTCGTCCGAGCAGTGGCACGGCCATGGTGATGTTATGTTGACCACTTGCTCTGGCGGATGTGATTCAGTGGAGGGGATTGAAAATAACACTCGCAGTCATCAGCGCCGACTAACATAGTGCGCTGGATCAAGGATTAAACGAGAATGCTTCATGGTCAATGGTTCGTCTTTTAGAGATCAACCAAGACCTCGACGTCATGCGGCATCGTGCCCGTCCATTTTCATGTGATGCTTACTTAATCCGGGGACAAGCAGAGGCCCAAAGAGGGTTAGCCCGGATTTTCGCCGCCGAGGAGATTCCGACGATCTGATACCAGACGGTTTGATTGTGGTTAGGACAGTCCATCGACGCGCTTTCTGCACAACTGCACGATGCCGAGCTCATGCAGGGATATAAGTGAGTACTTCTCAATTTACCTATAACAATTGGGGCGTTTTCCCAAGGACCACGTTCCACGTCCCTTCCGTGATCCTCACCTACAATGTAACATATCTGGATGCTA